GGAGGTCACACTGCAGACATTATTGTCTTTCCCTCTTAACTGTACCCTGTAACATGCTGACCAGACCGCGCGCCACACACACACCAGACGCGATCAGGACACGCGGGTTGAAATATCTATAAACGAACTGTTAGAAATTGCGTAATTCAAATCTGGTATTGGAATAAGAATCAAGAGATCTTCAATCCAAGCTAAATTTATTATATGCAAAATGTATGTATGATAAGTATGAAGGTTCGTATATACGGGTCCGCTGAAATACCACGCAGGGCACTCAGAGAACTGATCCATTGTTACAGGTTCTTCTTCAAATACTCTGACAGAGATATTTCCCACCTCTCTGCTGGCCAATCAGAGTAGAGACTGAGCGTGGTTTAGACTTACTCAGCCAATCCGTTGGCGCACCGGCTGGTCCCAGACCCTTGGTGCATCTCTGTTGCCAGGCATAAGTTGTTATCATAACAACCTGTAGAGTCAGCACTTTTTTTCAGTACCCATGTCCTTGGACGGTTCACAGATCACAAAGAAGCAGTGTAGTCTAATATTTTGAGACACAAGTTCTTATCTCATCCTACCCCCTAACGTTCCTCACATGAATCACAGCCTGTTATGTGAAACAATTTATATCAGTATAGTACAAACCTATGCTTATCATTAATGCATTCCTTCTAAGCTATTCATCACATACAGATCCAATTATGAGAAAATAGAACCCCACAGAACTCTGAACCAACTATATTAACTTGGGGACAGGTCGAAAACCATTAAACATGTATGGCAATTTAGCTAGCTAGCTTGCTGTTGCTAGCTAATTAGTCCTGGGACATAAAGATTGGGTTGTTATTTTACCTGAAATGTACAAGGTCCTCTACTCTGCTGCTTCTTCCTCTTCTTCTTTGGACTTTATATGGCAGTTGGCAACCAACTTTAAGGTGCATTACCACCCCCAACTGGACTGGTGTGTGGACCTTTCGATCACCCATGTGGGTATATGCTCCTAAAAACCAATGAGGAGATGGGAGAGGCGGGACTTGCAGCGCGTCGAGCGTCACAAATAGAACCAAGTTCTATTTTAGCGCCTGGCTACGCAGACGCTCGTGAGCAGTGTAGGTGCAATGATTGAAAAACATGGATGTGTAAATGTTATAGTTAGTTGAAGAAGTGGCCCAGTTTGCATAGCTGGTTGTAATGATATAGTTAGTTGAAGAAGTGGCCCAGTTTGCCTAGCTGGTTGTAATGATATAGTTAGTTGAAGAAGTGGCCCAGTTTGCCTAGCTGGTTGTAATGATATAGTTAGTTGAAGAAGTGGCCCAGTTTGCCTAGCTGGTTGTAATGATATAGTTAGTTGAAGAAGTGGCCCAGTTTGCCTAGCTGGTTGTAATGATATAGTTAGTTGAAGAAGTGGCCCAGTTTGCCTAGCTGGTTGTAATGATATAGTTAGTTGAAGAAGTGGTCCAGTTTGCCTAGCTGGTTGTAATGATATAGTTAGTTGAAGAAGTGGCCCAGTTTGCCTAGCTGGTTGTAATGATATATACTGAACAAAAATATAAATGCAACATGTAAAGTGTTGGTCCCATGTTTAATGAGCAGAAATATTAGATCCCAGAAATGTTAAAGACCTGTTAGTGAGCATTTCTCCTTTGCCAAGATAATCCATCGACCTGACAGGTGTGGCATATCAAGAAGCTGATTAAACAGCATGATCATTACACAGGTGCACCTTGTGCTGGGTACAATAAAAGGCCACTCTAAAATGTGCAGTTTTGTCACACATCACAATGCCACAGATGTCTCAAGTTTTGAGGGAGTGCACAATTGGCATGCTGACAGCAGGACTGTCCACCAGAAGTGTTGCCAGAGAATTGAATGTTCATTTCTCTACCATAAGCCACCTCCAACATCGTTTTAGAGAATTTGGCAGTATGTCCAACCGGCCTCACAACCGCAGACCACGTGTAACCACGCCAGCCCAGGACCTCCACATCCGGCTTCTTCACCTGCGGGATCGTCTGAGACCAGCCACCCAGACAACTGATGAAACTGAGGAGTATTTCTGTCTGTAATAAAGCCCTTTTGTGGGGGAAAAACTCATTCTGATTGGCTGGGCCTGTTCCCTCCCAGGCCCACCCATGGCTGCACTCTTGCCCAGTAATGTGAAATCCATAGATTAGGTCCTAATGAATTTAATTAAATTGACTGATTTCCTTATATGAACTGTAACTCAGTAAACATTTTGAAATTGTTGCAGGTTGCGTTTATATTTTTGTTCAGTGTAGTTTGTTGAAGAAATGGCCCAGTCCCAGCCTGCCTAGCTGGTTGTAATGATATAGTTAGAACACATTTTACCTTCTGGTGACGTTTCCTCTAAGCGTGTGGGCGTGGAGCTGCCGCGCAGAAGAAATATCAGCCCGCGCAAAGAAGCATAAGATTGAACTTCACTCGACTTTTTAGGTTTTTTTTCCTTTTAATGTTGGGAATTGTGATCGAATCAACGCAATATTAGCTACTTTCAATGCAACATACAGAAACAAAAAACAAACTATGCGAGAGATTTTGTTGTAGGCAGAGCGGAGCGCATCGGAGTAGGATTCTATTGCATTGACAGGCACGACTCAGGCCGGTACTCTACACAGACCGGGGCGCCATAACCAATCAGAGCTGCCTTAATGCAAATAGACCATTGCCATATATGGATTTGTGCCATTCACTTTGAACTGGATCGTGTTTACAACGTGAGCGGTCGTGAGTAGACGCACATATTTTGAGATCAAAGAGAGAGCTGCGTGTAGCCACGTGTCCACATGCTGTTCATATCCTTTGCTAGTTAGTGAGTTATTAGCCCAGTTATAGATCATTTGTAGTCAGCAATAGGGGAGTGATTTGCTTCCTACAAGAGCACAAAACGTGTCCATTTCTAGCCATCTTTGAAAAGCCAGTCAGGTAAAGAGCTTTTTTTTTTTATGTCTTAAAGGGGCAGTGTTATATTTTGAGACAGGCTTGAATAAGCTAAGTAGCCAATAGGCAGAGGGTAGCATAATTTGTCTGATTCTCTGTAATAATGGTATGGGAATGAGAATGAATTGTATTTTGCAAATTGGTTTCTTGCATCAAACAACACAACAAAAGTTGATATTTTTTTTTATTTTTTAAAGTCTTATTAAATGTAGGCCTACATTGAACACCACACATTGGCTGCTACTGTCGGCTGAACGATAGAACAGCTATTTCCATGTTAAAATGTTATGTGACGCATTTTCTCCATTGTTGTTGATGGTAGGCCACTCTGATAGGCCTACATTATGATCACATAGCCACAGTAGCCTACTGGACCACTGTTAAAACTGTAAGTTAAAGCGGGTACAGCCTCAGTGTTCACAGTAAACGCGTGCTGGAAGGTTAAAGTTTGCGCTCAGCAGACCTGAAATTTGCTCAGTGCCGAAAATGATTAAGAGGGAAAGTTGCCTGCTGGGTTATTTTCTGTTTGCTCCAGTTGAAAAGGAATTCACTCCAACCCTGCTGCCCTCACTCAAATCTATTGAGCTGAAAAACATCAGTATATTATCGGTCTCTTCTACAGAAAGACTAGCTGCCCACTCCCTCGTGATGGTACCTGTTTTTAGCATGTATAGCGCTTGTCAAACTCATTCCACGGAGGGCCGAGTGTCTGCAGGTTTTCAATCCACCCTTGTACTTGATTGATGAATTAAGGTCACTGATTATTAAGGAACTCCCCTCACCTGGTTGTCTAGGTCACAAATTATTAAGGACCTCCCCTCACCTGGTTGTCTAGGTCACTGATTATTAAGGAACTCCCCTCACCTGGTTGTCTAGGTCACTGATTATTAAGGAACTCCCCTCACCTGGTTGTCTAGGTCACTGATTATTAAGGAACTCCCCTCACCTGGTTGTCTAGGTCACTGATTATTAAGGAACTCCCCTCACCTGGTTGTCTAGGTCACTGATTATTAAGGAACTCCCCTCACCTGGTTGTCTAGGTCACTGATTTATTAAGGACCTCCCCTCACCTGGTTGTCTAGGTCACTGATTAGTAAGGAACTCCCCTCACCTGGTTGTCTAGGTCACTGCTTTATTAAGGACCTCCCCTCACCTGGTTGTCTAGGTCACTGATTAGTAAGGACCTCCCCTCACCTGGTTGGCTAGGTCACTGATTAGTAAGGACCTCCCCTCACCTGGTTGTCTAGGTCATAATTGAAAGGAAAAACCAAAAACCTGCAGTCGCTCAGCCCTCCGTGGAGTTTGACACCCCTGCTGTAAAGCATCACATTCATCTCATTCCTCTGTTCAACACTGAAGACATAGCTCAGGGAAACGTTTCCAGTCCAGTTTCCTCCCTTGCCAACCCCTCGCGCTCCACAGTTTGGATGGAAACCGCTGGGTTAGTGTAGCATGCACAATGCTAACCCTGAGATATGGCACAGAATTCCCTACATAGCGAACTACTTTTGACCAGAGCCACACACACACTAACCTTACTCTCCCCCGGTCTGTCTGTCTGTCTGTCTGTCTGTCCTGACCCGCAGGGTGAAGAGTTGAATGCAGGAAGGATAGGCCTCACCATCGTTATCGCTGGCATGGTGGGTTCGCTGATCTGTGGCATCTGGCTAGACAGAACCAAAACATACAAGTGAGTAAAGTCCAGGTGATTTTAAAGTGAATAGAAGAATGAAGGAACACTGGGAAAGGGAGCGGGGAGATGCAGGGAAGTGGGATAAGATGCACTATTATTCCCATATGCTTCCTTGTCTCATTTCAAAACACTGTCTGGAGCCAACCCAGTGGGCAAAGCTGTTTCGTTTCGTGTTGTTGCGTGTTCCAGCTAACTGTGAGCTGTTCAGTGTTTCTCTGTGTGTGATGCCTGTTCCCCCATCTAGACTCAGAGCCCTGCTATGTGTCTGTGTCTGTGTCACTTGCTCGCTGCATGCTCGGGACAAGACAGAACCCAGCTCTGTTTTTCCAGGTGCAGCCTGCTGATATCTCTCCTAACCTCTGAACCCTGGCTCACCCCATGGGGTCGCAGGCGACGTGTTCAGAGAGAGGACACCTTCAAACCCAAAGCCCCCCTTTGACGTCTCATTCTCTGTGACTACGTTCTGTATCTCTGAACTGATCGCATTCTCTGTGACTACGTTCTGTATCTCTGAACTGATCGCATTCTCTGGGACGACGTTCTGTATCTCTGAACTGATCGCATTCTCTGGGACGACGTTCTGTATCTCTGAACTGATCGCATTCTCTGTGACTACGTTCTGTATCTCTGAACTGATCGCATTCTCTGTGACTACGTTCTGTATCTCTGAACTGATCTCATTCTCTGGGACAACGTTCTGTATCTCTGAACTGATCGCATTCTCTGTGACTACGTTCTGTATCTCTGAACTGATCGCATTCTCTGGGACTACGTTCTGTATCTCTGAACTGATCTCATTCTCTGTGACTACGTTCTGTATCTCTGAACTGATCGCATTCTCTGTGACTACGTTCTGTATCTCTGAACTGATCTCATTCTCTGTGACTACGTTCTGTATCTCTGAACTGATCTCATTCTCTGTGACTACGTTCTGTATCTCTGAACTGATCTCAATCTCTGGGACTACGTTCTGTATCTCTGAACTGATTGCATTCTCTGTGACTACGTTCTGTATCTCTGAACTGATCTCAATCTCTGGGACTACGTTCTGTATCTCTGAACTGATCTCATTCTCTGGGACAACGTTCTGTATCTCTGAACTGATCTCATTCTCTGGGACAACGTTCTGTATCTCTGAACTGATCTCATTCTCTGTGACTACATTCTGTATCTCTGAACTGATCTCATTCTCTGGGACAACGTTCTGTATCTCTGAACTGATCTCATTCTCTGGGACAACGTTCTGTATCTCTGAACTGATCTCATTCTCTGTGACTACGTTCTGTATCTCTGAACTGATCTCATTCTCTGTGACTACGTTCTGTATCTCTGAACTGATCTCGTTCTCTGTGACTACGTTCTGTATCTCTGAACTGATCTCATTCTCTGGGACAACGTTCTGTATCTCTGAGCTGATCTCATTCTCTGGGACAACGTTCTGTATCTCTGAACTGATCTCATTCTCTGTGACTACATTCTGTATCTACATTTACATTACATTTACATTTTAGTCATTTAGCAGACGCTCTTAACCAGAGCGACTTACAGGAGCAATTAGGGTTAAGTGCCTTGCTCAAGGGCACATTAACGTCATTTAGCAGACGCTCTTAGCCAGAGCGACTCACAAATTGGTGCGTTCACCCTATAGCCAGTGGGATAACCACTTTACAATTTGGGGGGGGGGGGGGGTTAGAAGGAATACTTTAGCCTATCCCAGGTATTCCTTAAAGAGGTGGGGTTTCAAATGTCTCCGGAAGGTGGTGAGTGACTCCGCTGTCCTGGCGTCGTGAGGGAGCTTGTTCCACCATTGGGGTGCCAGAGCAGCGAACAGTTTTGACTGGGCTGAGGGGGAGCTGTGCTTCCGCAGAGGAAGGGGAGCCAGCAGGCCAGAGGTGGATGAACGCAATGTCCTCGTTTGGGTGTAGGGACTGATCAGAGCCTGAAGGTACAGGGGTGCCGTTCCCCTCACTGCTCCAAAGGCAAGCACCATGGTCTTGTAGCGGATGCGAGCTTCAATTGGAAGCCAGTGGAGTGTGCGGAGGAGGGGGGTGACGTGAGAGAACTTGGGAAGGTTGAACACCAGACGGGCTGCGGCATTCTGGATGAGTTGTAGGGGTTTAATGGCACAGGCAGGGAGCCCAGCCAACAGCGAGTTGCAGTAGTCCAGACGGGAGATGACAAGTGCCTGGACCAGGACCTGCGCCGCTTCCTGTGTAAGGCAGGGTCGCACTCTCCGAATGTTGTAGAGCATGAACCTGCAGGAGCGGGTCACCGCCTTGATGTTGGCGGAGAACGACAGGGTGTTGTCCAGGGTCACGCCTAGGCTCTTCGCACTCTGGGAGGAGGACACAGCGGAGTTGTCTACCGTGATGGCGAGATCATGGAACGGGCAGTCCTTCCCGGGGAGGAAGAGCAGCTCCGTCTTGCCAGGGTTCAGCTTGAGGTGGTGATCCGTCATCCATACTGATATGTCTGCCAGACATGCAGAGATGCGATTCGCCACCTGGTGATCAGAAGGGGGAAAGGAGAAGATTAGTTGTGTATCGTCAGCGTAGCAATGATAGGAAAGGCCATGTGAGGATATGACAGAGCCAAGTGACTTGGTGTATAGGGAGAAAAGGAGAGGGCCCAAAACCGATCCCTGGGGGACACCAGTGGTGAGAGCACGTGGTGCGGAGACAGCTTCCCGCCACGCCACTTGGTAGGAGCGACCGGTCAGGTAGGACGCAATCCAGGAGTGAGCCGCGCCGGAGATGCCCATTTCGGAGAGGGTGGAGAGGAGGATCTGATGGTTCACAGTATCAAAGGCAGCAGACAGATCTAGAAGGACAAGAGCAGAGGAGAGAGAGTTAGCTTTAGCAGTGCGGAGAGTCTCTGTGACACAGAGAAGAGCAGTCTCAGTTGAATGACCAGTCCTGAAACCTGATTGGTTTGGATCAAGAAGGTCATTCTGAGAGAGATAGCAAGAGAGTTGGCTAAAGACGGCACGCTCAATAGTTTTGGAAAGAAAAGAAAGAAGGGATACTGGTCTGTAGTTGTTGACATCAGTGGGGTCGAGTGTTGGTTTTTTGAGAAGGGGAGTAACTCTCGCTCTCTTGAAGACGGAAGGGACATGGCCAGCGGTCAAGGATGAGTTGATCAGCGAGGTGAGGTAGGGGAGAAGGTCACCGGAGATGGTCTGGAGAAGGGAGGAGGGGATGGGGTCAAGCGGGCAGGTTGTTGGGCGGCCTGCAGTCACAAGTCGCAGGATCTTATCTGGAGAGAGAGGGGAGAAAGAAGTCAAAGCATAGGGTAGGGCAGTGTGAGCAGGACCAGCAGTGTCATTAGGCTTAACAAACAAGGATCGGATGTCGTCAACCTTCTTTTCAAAGTGGTTGACGAAGTCATCCACAGAGAGAGAGGAGGGGGGGAGGGGGGGGGGGGGAGGATTCAGGAGGGAGGAAAATGTGGCAAAGAGCTTCCTAGGGTTAGAGGCAGATGCTTGGAATTTAGAGTGGTAGAAGGTGGCCTTAGCAGCAGAAACAGATGAAGAAAATGTAGAGAGGAGGGAGTGAAAAGATGCCAGGTCGGCAGGGAATTTAGTTTTCTTCCATTTCCGCTCCGCTGCCCGGAGCTCTGTTCTGTGAGCTCGCAATGAGTCATCAAGCCACGGAGCTGGAGGGGAGGACCGAGCCGGCCGTGAGGATAGGGGACACAGAGAGTCAAAGGATGCAGAAAGGGAGGAGAGGAGGGTTGAGGAGGCAGAATCAGGAGATTGGAGGGAGAAGGATTGAGCAGAGGGAAGAGATGATAGGATGGAAGAGGAGAGAGTAGTGGGAGAGAGAGAGCGAAGGTTGCGGCGGCGCATTACCATCTGTGTAGGGGCAGAGTGAGTAGTGTGGGAGGAGAGTGAGAGAGAAAAGGAAACAAAGTAGTGGTCGGAGACTTGGAGGGGAGTTGCAGTGAGATTAGTAGAGGAGCAGCATCTAGTGAAGATGAGGTCAAGCGTATTGCCTGCCTTGTGAGTAGGGGGGGACGGTGAGAGGGTGAGGTCAAAAGAGGAGAGGAGTGGAAAGAAGGAGGCAGAGAGAAATGAGTCAAATGTGGACATAGGGAGGTTGAAATCCCCCAAAACTGTGAGGGGTGAGCCATCCTCAGGGAAGGAACTTATCAAGGCGTCAAGCTCATTGATGAACTCTCCAAGGGAACCTGGAGGGCGATAGATGACAAGGATATTAAGCTTAAATGGGCTAGTGACTGTGACAGCATGGAATTCAAATGAGGAGATAGACAGATGGGTTAGGGGAAAAATTGAGAATGTCCACTTGGGAGAGATGAGGATTCCTGTACCACCACCCCTCTGACCAGATGCTCTCGGGGTATGCGAGAACACATGGTCAGACGAGGAGAGAGCAGTAGGAGTAGCGGTGTTTTCAGTGGTGATCCATGTTTCCGTCAGCGCCAGGAAGTCGAGGGACTGGAGGTTGGCATAGGCTGGGATGAAGTCAGCTTTGTTGGCAGCAGAACGGCAGTTCCAGAGGCTGCCTGCGACCTGGAACTCCACGTGGGTGGTGCGTGCAGGGACCACCAAATTGGAGAGGCAGCAGCCACGCGGTGTGGTGCGTTTGTGTAGCCTGTGCAGAGAGGAGAGAACAGGGATAGGCAGAGGCATAGTTGACAGGCTGTAGCAAATGGCTACAAAAATGCAGAGGAGATCGGAATGAAATGGGCTAAGCATCTGGGAGTGGAGAGAGCAGGGCCTCCCTCACCAAATCTTCTAGCTCGGAAACTAAAATTGTTTCACTGAACCACCCGAACAAAAACTCTCCCAACTTCCGCCTTTGGAAATCAGAATTGTTGTGAACCACAGCGGTTCAATGTTTAAAGGAGTAGACTCAACCCACTTTGTTCAGCTAGCCAACTATGACTCCATAGCCAACTAGCAGACTAGCATCCAATAACAATAACACACCGTTTAGCGCCAACACTTGGTCACAACAAACCACCAATATTGTGATATCACACTAAACAGATCATTCGTGTCTGTGTCAAGTTCCTTATATGACGCAGCAATGATTAGACGTTGGCTAGCTAGGACAAGTAAATTGTGGACTGAACTGATCTCATTCTCTGGGACAACGTTCTGTATCTCTGAACTGATCTCATTCTCTGGGACAACGTTCTGTATCTCTGAACTGATCTCATTCTCTGTGACTACGTTCTGTATCTCTGAACTGATCTCGTTCTCTGTGACTACGTTCTGTATCTCTGAACTGATCTCATTCTCTGTGACTACGTTCTGTATCTCTGAACTGATCTCGTTCTCTGTGACTACGTTCTGTATCTCTGAACTGATCTCATTCTCTGTGACTACGTTCTGTATCTCTGAACTGATCTCATTCTCTGTGACTACGTTCTGTATCTCTGAACTGATCTCATTCTCTGTGACTACGTTCTGTATCTCTGAACTGATCTCATTCTCTGTGACTACGTTCTGTATCTCTGCCCGAGTCAGACCGACACACAGCAACACCACCAGAGCTACAATACCCCTCATTCTTTACCTGTCCTGGACTTGATCTGTGTGAAACAGCAATGTTGTGTGTGTCCATGATGTGTTTGTTGTGTGTGTGTGTGTGTGTGTGTGTGTGTGTGTGTGTCCATGATGTGTCTGTTTTGTGTGTGTGTGTGTGTGTGTGTGTGTGTGTGTGTCCATGATGTGTCTGTGTGTGTGTGTGTCCATGAACTGGAAGCTGTTCAAGGGCATTTCTAACACATTTGATGAGATGTCTTAGTAAACTATTTACCAATGAACTGATTTTATCTACAGTGATGAACACATGGTTATCTACAGTGATGAACACACGGTTATCTACAGTGATGAACACAGGGTTATCTACAGTGATGAACACACGGTTATCTACAGTGATGAACACAGGGTTATCTACAGTGATGAACACACAGTTATCTACAGTGATGAACACACAGTTATCTACAGTGATGAACACAGGTATCTACAGTGATGAACACACAGTTATCTACAGTGATGAACACAGGGTTATCTACAGTGATGAACACACAGTTATCGACAGTGATGAACACACAGTTATCGACAGTGATGAACACAGGGTTATCTACAGTGATGAACACAGGGTTATCTACAGTGATGAACACACGGTTATCTACAGTGATGAACACACGGTTATCTACAGTGATGAACACACAGTTATCTACAGTGATGAACACACGGTTATCTACAGTGATGAACACACGGTTATCTACAGTGATGAACACAGGGTTATCGACAGTGATGAACACAGGGTTATCTACAGTGATGAACACAGGGTTATCTACAGTGATGAACACAGGGTTATCTACAGTGATGAACACACAGTTATCTACAGTGATGAACACACAGTTATCTACAGTGATGAACACACAGTTATCTACAGTGATGAACACACAGTTATCTACAGTGATGAACACACAGTTATCTACAGTGATGAACACAGGGTTATCTACAGTGATGAACACAGGTATCTACAGTGATGAACACACAGTTATCTACAGTGATGAACACACAGTTATCTACAGTGATGAACACAGGTATCTACAGTGATGAACACAGGGTTATCTACAGTGATGAACACAGGGTTATCTACAGTGATGAACACAGGTATCTACAGTGATGAACACACAGTTATCTACAGTGATGAACACACAGTTATCTACAGTGATGAACACAGGGTTATCTACAGTGATGAACACACAGTTATCTACAGTGATGAACACAGGGTTATCTACAGTGATGAACACACGGTTATCTACAGTGATGAACACACAGTTATCTACAGTGATGAACACAGGGTTATCTACAGTGATGAACACACAGTTATCTACAGTGATGAACACACGGTTATCTACAGTGATGAACACACGGTTATCTACAGTGATGAACACAGGGTTATCGACAGTGTTTTTACACGAAGTCATGACACACTGGGCACACTACCTCATTTCAACGTGGACCCTTCGCTCAGCCCCGCCCCAGAAATGTAGGTCAGAACGCTTGGATCAACCCTACTCCTCGGCCAGAGCGTCCAGTGTGCGCTCTGAGAGCGAAGCGCTCTGAATTTACTAATGGACAATCTGACAACGCTCTGAATTTACGAACGCCCAGAGTGCACTATGATCATTGTCTTGCCGCATGACCCAGCCGCACTTCAGCTTCAGCTCACAGACGGATGGCCTGACATTCTCCTGTAGAATTCTCTGATACAGAGCAGAATTCATGGTTCCTTCTATTAAGGCAAGTCGTCCAGGTCCTGAGGCAGCATCCCCAAACCATCACACCACCACCACCATGCTTGACCGTTGGTATGAGGTTCTTACTGTGGAATGCAGTGTTTTGGTTTTTGGCAGACGCTCTGAATTTACGAACGCCCAGAGTGCACTCTGGCATTCCAGTATGAATATAGGAACACGCCATAAGTTGACATGGATCTAGAACCCTAGGTAGGATGATGTCATAGAGACCCTTTACATCAGAATTGCAGAATTTGTCAGCCATTTTAGCTGGGGCCTGCCCTGGTTGGGACATCAAATATATCTAGAATTCCTATCTACTAATATATTGTCTATGGTTGACGTCAATCCAATAACTGGCAGTCAACCTGTCTCCTGAGCCAATCAGCCCCATCACCAACGTTGTCTGTTTACTTGACCTTTGTTTCTGCCCCACTCCATCCTCTCAGTTCAGCAAATAGGCATCCGTAAGTGTTGTTCACTATCAGTTAATTGGTTGGCAATCGCTGTCTAAAGACGTACGCAACACATGTATCGTCCAAAAAGTTATACTTTTGACTCATCTGTCCATAGAACATTCTTCCAAGAGTCTTGATGATTATCCAGATGCTTCCAGGTGCTTTTTTGACAAACTTGAGTCGACTGTTTGGATGAGATGGGTCTCATTATACCTGGCAAAAACCAAAACACTGCATTCCACAGTAAGAACCTCATACCAACGGTCAAGCATGGTGTTGGTAGTGTGATGGTTTGGGGATGCTTTGCTGCCTCAGGACCTGGACGACTTGCCTTAATAGAAGGAACCATGAATTCTGCTCTGTATCAGATAATTCTACAGGAGAATGTCAGACCATCCGTCTGTGAGCTGAAGCTGAAGCGCAGCTGGGTCATGCAGCAAGACAATGATCCAAAACACACAATCAAGTCTACATGAAAATGGTTAAAAAGCAACACATTTGAAGTCAAAGTCCAGACCTAATCCCAATTGAGATGTTGTGGCAGGACTTGAAACGAGCAGTTCATGCTTGAAAACCTACAAATGTCGCTGAGTTAAAGCAGTTCTGCATGCAAGAGTGGGCCAACATTTATTTTACAGCGATGTGAGAGACTGATCAACAACTACAGGAAGCATTTGGTTGGAGTCATTGCAGCTAAAGGTGGCACAACCAGTTATTGAGTGTAAGGGAGCAATTACTTTTTCACACAGGGGAATTGGATGTTGCATAACTTTGTTAATGAAATAAATACAATAATTATAATTTACATTTATTTTTGTTTCCAGACGCGGGCCCATCTTTTTGGGGTTGGTCTAGCCTTCCCTCCCGTGGGGGGGCTCCTACTAGGAGCCGGGGGGGCCCCCTGGAGGGGGAAAAAAAAATTTGATTAGGGGGAGAGGAGGGAATGGGAAGGGAAGGGGAAAGGAAAAGGGGGGGAGAGGGAGAAAAGAGAAGGAGGAGAGGAGGAAAAAAAAAGAGAGGCGGGAGAGCGAGAAGGGAGGGAAAAGGGGAAAAGAAGAAAGGAAAAAAAAGAGAGCGGAAGAGGAAAAGGAAAGGAAAGAAAATTTGAGTAAAAGGGGAAAACTTAATTTGAAAAAACAAACGATTTAGAAACAAGAAGGAGAACCCGGGGGAAAAAACAAAAAAAGAGGGAAAAAAAAAAAAAACCCCCCGAGGAAAAAAGGAAAAAGGGTCCCTAATTCGGGGAAGGAAAAAAGAAAAAAAAGAGAAATTTAAAAAGGCGAAGAGGAAAAGGGGTTTTTCCAAATTCAATAGAAATTTTAAATACTAAAAAAAGAGCAACCTAATACTTAATCCACCCCTTTTATTGTTTACTCCTTGCTTAATTAACCGGTTCTTTCAACCTTTTTTTCTTCCCTTTTTCTCAAATGGTTCAAAAATTTTTTCCCCACCTTAACCCCTCTTAAATTTTTTCTAACAATATATTTTAACAAAAACAACGGAAGGGGGGAAGGGGAGGGGGGGAAGAGGGAGGGGGGAAAAGAAGGGGGGAAAAGGGATTTTCAGGGGGGGAAAAAGAACCCCCCGGGAAAAAGGGGGGAGGGGGGGAAAAAGGAGGGGAAAGGGGGGGGGGAGAAAAAAAAAGGGGAAAAAGAGAGGGGGGGAAAAAGGGGGGGGAAGGGGAAAAGGCGCGAGGGAGAAAAGGAGCGGAGTTGGGGCGGGAAGGCAGAAAAAGGGAGAAAAAGGAAAACGGGTTTTTCCCAATTTTCCACCTCTTCCAACAAAAAACCCCCCCCCCAAACCCCCTTTTCCCCCCCTTTCCCTTCCCCCCCTTTTCTCTCCCCTTTCCCTCCCCTCTTCCCCCAAGTTTTGAAACCCTCGCCTTTTAACCCACACTGCCCTCCCTCTCCCCTCTCGCCTCTGACCTGAGCTGAAACCTTTGTTTTTAAACCCCCCAACCCTAACTACAAAAGGGAAATTTAGGGAAAACCAAAAAAGCTGTTGCCCCCCCCAGGGATATTTGGATTTGTACAATACAGTACGCATGTATAGTTTATCCCTTGGAAAACTTAACTGCCCAAAGGGTTTTTTTGGCATTAAAACTTTTTAGTTCTATTGTTTTTTCCCGTTGTCCCCTTTCTCTTGTTGATTTTTGTGGCGTCTTAGGGGGGTAAAATATACCATGTCCCTTGCAAAAAGATTCATCCCCCTTGGATTTCTTCACTTTTTGGCACGGGGAAGTGGGAAAAAAAAAAGGAAAGGAAAGTTGTCAACAATCAAAAACCGCAGTTTTTTTTTTTTTTTTTTTTTTTTTTTAAGTATTAAAAAAAAAAAGATGAATGAAATTAAAAAAACTGAAATTAGTTTTTGCAAAGTTTCGGGCCCCCCGAGTAATAATGTTAAAATCACCTTTGGCGCCCCTTTAAGCTGTGAGTTTTTTGGGTACGTCTCAAAAAGAGCTTTTTCCACCGGATGTACAAATTTGCCCATTATTCTTTTTATAATTCTTCAAGCTCGTAAGGGGTTGGGGGGCGGGGGACAGCAAATTTTTTGCCATGATTTAAGCATATTTTAAGTCAAAATTGAAAGGGCCAACCGGGGAAATTTGAAAATTTTTGAGTTTGGGGAAATTTTTTTTTATTTTTATTTGTTTTGGGGGTTTGTGGTTTTTGGTAAATTTTTTGTAAGGTTTTTGAAAAACTAAGGGGTTGCGGGTGTGAACCCTAAAAGGAAGGGGGTTTTTTTTTCCTCTGGGGGTTTTTCCCCTGTTTTTTAGCCCCAACCCCATTTTTTTTCACCGGGAAAAACCCCCCACGGGTATTTGCCGGTTTGGTAAACCCCTTTCCCCTTTTAAATGAGCACCCAAAACAACCCATGCGGGGAAAATAAGGAGGCAGTTTTTTAACTCCGTTGTTTGTGTTTTTGGGTTTTTTCCCCAAAAAAAAAACCCTTTTTCTTTTGGCCCAAAAAAGTTTTTTATTCCTGTTTTTTTTTTTGGCAGTAGTTTAAACTTTAGGCCTTTTTTGGAAACGGGAGCATTTTTTTGGAGGGGGGAAAATTCGGGGGGGGGGAAGGAAAACCCAAACGGGGGAAAATTTAAGTAATTTTTTATGTGGGCCCACTCCCAATTTTGGGTTGGGACCCAATCCTAATTTTTCACCTTTTCAAAAAAGCCTTTGAATCTTTTTCCCCGGTTTTTTTTTAAATAAACCCTTTGGGCCCTCGTGGTGACATCCCTGAGAAGTTCTTTTCCTGTTTTTTGCAGCTCAGTTCAAAAGGGAAACCGGACGGACCCTTTGAGGGGTCTGGGGGGGTTTTAATGCATAATGAAAAGCAGAATTTTTTAAAAGGGGGGCCATTTTTTTTAAAGAGTTTTTCAAATTTTCTGATTTTTTGATTGTTACCCTTTTTCCCCCAAATAAATCCCCCCCTTCTTTTTTATGGGGGCTTTTTTGACGGGCCCTGGTCTTTGTTTTTAATCTGTGTTTTAAAATTTTCAAAACGGGATTTGGGGGAAATTTTAAAGATCATTTAACATTACCTTTGGGTTTTCTTTAGCAGACGCTCTTATCCGGGAGCGACTTCTTAAGGAGCAAATTAGTTTTAAAGGCCCCTGCTAAAGGGCACATGGGACAGTTTTTTTCATAGTCGGTCGGGGGGAGGGGGAAACCCACGCCCTTTGGGTTTTTATTGGCACACCCCCTTTTTTAAAAACAAAACGACAACCCTTCCCGGGGGGCCCAAAAGAGGTTGTGGGGGGGATGGGGGGAAAGAGGAAAAGGGGGGTTGGGTCTTTTTTTAAAAAAAACAAATTTAAACCCAAAAATTTTTTCAAAACCAAAAGGTTGTTTTCCAGGGCCATTTTTGTTAACCCCGTTTTACTCCTAAAACTAATTAGGTTTCCGGAAAAAAAGGGGGTTTTGAATACTTTTATGATCTACCATATTTTTATTTTATTACTTTTTTAAGAATTTTTAACAAAGTTAGAAAATTTTTTTTTTTTCCATTTTTTTAAAAGGTTTTTTTGATTTAAAAATTGTTGAAAAAAAAAACTAAACCCCAACCCCCCTAAAAATCAAATTTAAAAAATTCCCCCACTTTTTTTTAAAAAACAGGGGAGGTAGCCCTTTGTGCGGGGTTTTTTACGTTTTGCATTGTTGCTTTTGGGTTTAAGGGGGGGTTTTTGTAAAAAAAAATTTGGGGGTTTGGGTTTGTTGAAAAAAAAAGGGT